TTAGATTCCGAGATATTTTTGTTTTGTTTCGGGGATATAGACCCCTTTCAAAATTACTAAAAATAGAACGCTGCACCACAGGTTACATCTGGAGGCAGCAAGCTCTCTGCTAATAGCCTAAGTTCATTGAAATGCTCAAAAATGACCTTATCTTTGGGTTTTATTGTTTATACTTTTTTGTCTGTATTTTTTGTCTGTATAAAAATCTATTTTTTTTACTTTATCTATCCATTTCTGCAGACAAAACACTGCAGATCCATTATTATTGGAACATAAAAGCATTGGATAAGCTACAGATACTATCATTCAATGCGCCCACTGATAAGTTATTGAATTAAACTGTATTTATAATATTCTCTGAGAGTAAATTATAAAAAGGTCATTTTAGTATATAAGTCCCTTAACACTCTTCTCCTATCATTTTAATATATAAACAATATGTATCTTTATATAAATCATTTGTTTGAACTGTATACTATATGTACATTTTTATAGAGACTCGAAAGGAAGCCTGAACTTGCCAAACTATGTTGCCCCTTTAAATAAAGTCATCATCTTCATAATCATCATTATTATTATTATTATTATTATTATTATTATGTACCAGTGTTTCGACATGTACAGCCTGTTCTATTATTAGAAACTTACAAGTGTTGGACAGCAAGAGGCAGTGTACAAATAACATACGTTACAAGGCTTACCTGATAAAAAAAAATATGGTCAAATCCATGCAACCTTAATTGTCATTGATTTATTTTAAATTATCTTTAATTTATTTTTAACCTGAGGCATAAACTCAGTTTCAAAACTTCAATTCAAAACTACCAATATTATTAGAAATATCAGATTACAAAAAAATGAAAACAACTGACTGGCTTAAATACATATATTTGTGGAACATCTATCCAAATTATACATATATTCTTTGACTTCTGAAATGCATAACCCAGTCATTTAAAATATTAATATTTTGCAGAAAAGCCTGTTAATAAAATTAAGGCTTAACTTTATTTTTTTGCTAACGATTAATTTACTATGTGGAATGGAGAAATTATTAGACCTGCCAGTTACTTGATTTATGTTATGAAACATAGTAAAAGTCATGAAGCAAAATAATTGGTCACATTATAAAACGTAAAATGCATGCAAAGAATTATTTGTTGGTTGCCACGGCTTTAATGCTCTTGGTCATATCCTTTTATAGCGTTTGTCCATGCATCCCTTCTCCACAATACGTATTTAGGAATCTAAGTACATATAATGACATGGTGTTTTCTGTGTTTTGCATATTTGAGCATCCATATATTTGAATAAGAATGCCTGTATGAAATAAATATGTTTTGTTTTGTTAAAAATATATTTAACGTAGTAGCATAATATTTTGTTCCGCATCATTTTATTCTGTTAATGCACAGTTTTCATGTGTTTTCAAGAAAAGAAATATTTTATGTTGAGAGCCGACCGTGAGATGGAAATATCATAATGTTACCATTTTTGATTTATATGAAAAATAGTTCATTAGAATATTTCATTTTTGATATTTCATTAGTTTTTTTTAACTATTTTATTCACCATTAAGTAATATCCTTAACTTTTACATAAAATGAACCCAAAATAAACCTGCAGACAAAAGCATCAAATAATTCACAAATTTCTGAAACATTTAAGATATATTTTGCTAATAACAACTGCTTATTTTAACAATTAAAGTATGATTATTGTGAAATAACTTCTCTGTGGAGGCTTGTCAGTAAAGAGCTTTCTGCCTCCACTAAATAAAACATGAGTGACCTGAAATTGACCTTACATTTTGCAAGGCGTCTATTGCCTTTAAGAAAAATATCACAATAACTTAACGCGTTGTACAATTAGTTAGGCTACATGCGCTACTTAATCAGTGCATCAATCGGCAAAAATAATATGCTTCTTGAGTACTTAATAACGGTTACATGCTACACATTAAAAATGATATCTGTGAACATTCTATAAATGGGATTTATGTTCTATACTCCGTCGACTGCTTTGCGATTTTTTTTCTGAAACGGACTATAACTGACCTGCTATATTATAGTTATGATGCAATAAAATTAAACTCGCCTATGAAGTTTTTTTTCAGTTTTGGAAACTCTTATAAAAAAGTGCAATTAGCTGTGTTTATCCTGCAAGAGACTAAAGACTACTTACTAAACCGTCTGTAAATCAATTATTTTCTATTCAACAACAATAAGAAACATTACAGGTTTAGGTCATTGTATTTGACAAAATTATTACATTTACTTCTTGTCTACTGCAACAAAACATCTGCTGGAATGAGGGCTGTCTCGAATTACGGCGGAGTCGTTATGAAATAAACTGAAAATATTTGAAACTATTAGAAAAGACTGTAAAAATAAATATGTATGCTTACTCCTGTCATTTTAAGAATTGTATTCTGTCAAATACAGACCTTTACACATTTACTCCCTCTTATACCGTACACGCACGTGAAAATCGTTCAAAAATATAAAGGAATGTGCAATAGAGTAAATCGAATTAACGTAAAATAATAAATATTTGCTATAGATATAACAGATACCATAAACTGCGTATTGTTCGAAACAAAAGTAATTTCGTTTGTGGCGGTAACTGTAAGTATACATAAACCATGTATACCGTTTTGCCAGACTTTAAAATCTGTATGATTTACTTCGAAGTCCGACAATTACCGACAAAACGTTGAATATTCAAATGTCCAAGGTCAATATTGCCAAACAATACCATAAGTTTTTTAAATAAAATAAAATTCTCTTGTTTCGTTCCGTTTCGCAAAGTACCAATACCCGTGTGGGTATTGGTACTTTACGAAACGGAACGAAACGAGAGAGAAAAGGCTTATTTGGTTATATATGTACATGTATATGTATTATGTAATCCAAGATGCCGACAATAAGAATGAAAAGATAAATAGACGGAGAATCATATTTTCGGATGCGGGCACGGCAATTTATACAATACAACCAAAAATGATATATGTAAGATAAGATTTATTTAAAGTCGGCAAAAAAAACCACAATGATTTACCAATCCAGGCTCGACTTTTATTTTACAGGCAAGCATAAACGATCATTAAATATGAATGTCTGAAATATTTCATGTAAAATACATTATTATTTCTCGTTACGTTCCGTTTCACAAAGTACCAATACCTGTGTGGGTATTGGTACTTTGCGAAACGGAACGAAACGAGATAGGAAAAGCTAATTTGGCCACATATGTATTATGTGATTCAAGGTACTGATACCTTAGAATTAGAAAAAAAAATAAGGATACTAAAATTTCGGTACAATGAGTTACAAATGTACATGTAAAGAATTCCCTTCACACGGACATACAAATTCTCCTGTTATCTTCAGACATAAAAAGACCAGTTGCAGATCGAAACTCTACAGTAATACAAAAAAAAAACACATATAGAAACGATTATTTAATATTCCTGTACATTGTAAAATTTGCTCGTTCCGTTTCGTTTCGCAAAGTACCAAATCCGGTGTGGGTATTGGTACTTTGCGAAACGGAACGAAACAGAATATAAAAAGACCACTAATTTGGTTACAAATGTATTATGTAGTTTAAGATGCCGACAGTAAGAATTCAAATAAAAATAGGTAAATCATATTTCATTAGAAGCAATGACATGCAAAGAACAGAAACATACAGATTCCCCTTAATACATTATAATGATTAGTTGCAGATTCAAGCTCGACAGTTATACAAACATTAACGATTATCCGACATTCCTAAAAATGATATAAATGTATTTTGTCTCGTTTCGTTCCGTTTCGCAAAGTACCAATACCTGTGTGGGTATTGGTACTTTGCGAAACGGAACGAAACAAGAGAGAAATGGCTAATTTAGTTATATTTGTATTATGTAAATAAAGATTACAGCGTAATGTACATGCATGGATTTATGCAAAAAATCTTCCCTTCACAAACATACAAATTTTCCTATAGTCTAATGTAAATTTGAATATTAAAAATTTAATTATTTAATTTGAAAAATATACAACGTTTCGACTCAAAAGTTTTCAAACATTAACGATTATCCGACATTCCGAAAAAGAATAATTGATTTAAATATATTTTGTCTCGTTTCGTTCCGTTTCGCAAAGTACCAATACCTGTGTGGGTATTGGTACTTTGCGAAACGGAACGAAACAAGAGAGAAAGGGCTAATTTGGTATAATGTGGAGAATAATCACGCGTGCACATACAAGGAAATATGCAAAAAACCTTCCCTTTACAAACATACAAATTGTCCTATAATCTTATAACAAAATTCCATGTCGAGGTTATTTATGAAGATACATGTATCTATGAGTTTGATACATAGGAAGTCAGTAGCGCAGGTGTTAGCAGATTAGACTACAAGACCAGCGATCTTGGTTCGTCGACTAGCGACGTTAATAAGAAATTATACCTTTACTTTTAGTAAAGTGTTGTATGGTTCCAGTTATAAGTTATGGCGTTGATGAGCTGTCGCAAATTACTTGAACAATATTGACATACAAATTCTTGTGATCATTATTGTACATGGAAGCATAAACGATTATTAGATAAAAAACATTTCATGTATTTAAATAAAATTTTTTTCTCGTTTCGTTCCGTTTCGCAAAATACCAAAACCCATGAAGGTAATGGTACTTTGCGAAACGAAACGGAACTAGACAAAACTATAGTTCATACTAAATTGTTTGTGTATAATGAGTTTCATCGGATAGACTAAGATTATACAGAATTCATATAATTTACTATTATGATTACTTTATATTGATTTTAAGAATTTACATTTCATTTCTTAATTTCCCCTATATGGTGCCTCTCGTTCCGTTCCGTTCCGTTTCGTTCCGTTTCGCAAAGTACCAATAGCCTTATTAATGATAATAACCGAGACGTTCCGATTGCAATTCAACGTTTATGGTGGGGTTTTCCCAATTATATTTAGTAACACCTCGGTTTTCTGGTTACTAATTTTAGACTTCGATTGATAACCTACAGCTTTTTAATAGAACATACATGTTAAGTGTATTGACTTAAATACCGCAACCTTGAAACGTGGAACAATTTTCATGTAAATAACACAATTAAAAAATATGTTTTCTTCAGTATTTATGGAGATATGGGACATTGACACGGGATAATTTCATGCAAAGTGTAATGACGGTTTTAGATTTACACCGATGATGGATTCTCATCAAGAGCAACTGAAAAAGGCGCAATATAGGTTATGGGTCAAAGCAGGACTAGCGTTGAAATATCTCAAAGATGGAGTTGAGGAGTTTGTTGACAATGAAGTTTTTTCCCAGCATAGATCAATCAAAGCTGAAGTGCAGAAAGAATTAGGAGGTAGTGATGTCACTTGTAATGAGTGTGAAATTACTACATTACTTCCTGCACATACACGTGCCAAATGTATACAAGGAAATCGATGTTTCTGTCGTAATCCAAACCGAAAGCCCTGTCCGAAGGATGTCTGTGGTAGAATTTTTGACAAGATCGTTATGCAGCATATGCATGGCAGGCCGTCCTGGTTGAACACCGACGCTAAATCAAAGCACTGAAAGTACTGTTGGAAGGAAATTTTCATAGAAATACCTAATGCGTGTGAATTAAAAACAAAGGAATATGTGCAAGCTTCAATCTACAGCTAGCTGATTTGATGACGTAAAATGTGACGTCATTGTTTCCGTTTTTGCACTACTCATGTTCAGTGGGCTGATAACTAGTTCTTGGCCCAGGGCCCCAAACCCATAAGTTGTGACACTCATAATCAGTTGAAATCATAGGCAATTCTGTTACTAATATAGTAATAAGTGAATTAATAGATAATACTACTGCATTATGCACACAAAGAACCACTCAGTTTGACCTAAATCGGCCATGACTTATATGACTACTTCATAGGAATTCAAGACCATGCCATAAGCATTATTTAATCATAGTTAATGAAGAGACTTTTTATTTTAAACTCAAGGACAAGAAAAGCTCATCATGTGCTTACATTTGTAAGTTCAAACATAACTAATTGTGTTTTAGTATGAAATTGATGTACATGCTGTTAAAGTCATAGCAAAACAAAGAACAATGATTTAAAATAAACTTTTATTGTCAAAACTTGCATAAAAGTAAAAATATATGTAATATAAAAAATAAATGATTAAATATATGGAGATAATGAAATTTAGTTTGTCAGATAAAATGTGTAAAAGGAACTCCACTGAGGTTTTTTGACATGATGAGACTGAAATTTATTTTTCTAGATTAATGTACCACTTGATGTATGTTTTGACCACTACTCTTTGAGAAAAATTTCAGATCATTTGCGCACTTCGTTTTTCAAGAATAATTATTCAAATTGTAAAAAAATTACCCAAAATGAAAGCGTTTAAACACATATCACGCAGATCAGGCTGAGAAAAGCATAAAAAAATTGATTTTCAATTCATTTCAAAGTATATTTCTTCACTATCTGTGCATATATTTCTGTATCAAGTGCCCCAGCTCATTTCTGTAGAAATTCAAATGTTATGTTTTAGGCTTTTAAACCTCAATGGAGTGAGTCCCTTTAAATTATTGGTACATATTGAGGTGATACAAGTTATAACAATCTGAATGAAAGAAGCTTTAATGCAAACGGCCAGTAATATAGGAGGTGCTGTTTTAAGGATTTTTTACATACAAGACTGACATTATACAACAAAATATAGTCAAAAGTAGAAATGTGCCCATAGGACTTGAATGCCTGCGTTAAGAACAATGCTTATATTGAGTGGGTAATCAAAATATGTACATAAATAGACAAGCCCACTGGCAGCATATATCAAGCCTGTTGCCATTATTCAGAACTGAACCTTAAAGCTTCAGATTGGGGAGAAAGATGTATACATAAGTGAGCATTTGTGATAAATGTTATGAAAATCCAGCCATGTATATAGAAATGTACTCTCATGTTTTAAGTTATTATTTGACTTTTGATCTAAAGTAGTGACCTTGATCTTTGCAACAGACACCTGATTTTTCATACTACACTCCAACTCACTAAAGACTGTTAAATTTTGTCCAGAGTTATATGAAAAATCTTTATAGATTTCAAAAGCATTCAAATATTATCAGTTATAAATCAATTTTTTGCATATGATTTGGTAAGGAAGGCACAATGTTGTATAAATTTTGTGGAATGTAACTGAAATCATACTTGACCTGTGTTTTGATATATTGTTGAATATACCAGTTATAAATTGAATCCTTAAAAGGTGTACAAATCTTATTGGTTGGCTTACAAGAGCATTTGTTTTCATATTTTACTAGGTAAAGTACAAAGAAATGATATTGTTATAATTTTATGAGCCATCACATCAAACCGTGATCAATGTAATATGAAGTATGGGAAAATAAGTAACAAGAAGTGCATGTTTAACTAAAACAGAATGTATGATTCAGAGGAACACTGTAAAAATAAAGTAAATAATGTTAAAAAAAAAAAAACAAAAAAAAAACATAAAAAAAGTTGACCATCATTTGGACTTTCATGAGTTGGCCATGCTAATCTTAGAATAAGAACATAAATAAAATACAACATTATACAAAAGGTAGTACAAAAAATACAATGAGCAAAAGTTTGAAAGTGAACACTTGTTGGTAAAATAAACAAGAATTTGTAACAGAGATACCAACGTCCCCCGCCTCAGGGAAGTTTTATATGAAGCAAAAAATTGTGCTATTTCAAAAGATTGAGGCAGGGATCTAAGGATTTTCAGTCCAAAATTATGATCAATGCTGGATCTGCAAATGCAACAATAAATTTATTAAAGAAATAAAATGAAATTTCAAAATATATCATGTTAAGCTTTGCAGGGATTTTTTGGCTTATGTTATAGCCGTTATTGGGACATATTCCCAATTGAAAATAGTATATTATTTTCCCAATCCAAAGGAAAATATTCCCAATTGAAAGTTACAAAAATATAAATATTGAATAAATTATTCTAAAATCTTTGAAAATAAGGGCTTCTTTACTGTAATAGTGTTTAAATGTTTGAAGAAGCCATCCTAGGCAGTGATTGCTTGCATACATTTAATCACTGCAAACTTTCAGTCATACATTTTTTCCCAATTTTAACAAAATATTGCTGAAATTCCCAGTTGCATGGGTATGGGTTATGTTCCCAAAATCCTGGAAAAAATCCCTGCTTTGACCTCTAAGTGTGACCTTGACCTTGGAGGTAGGGGTGCAGGTGTTGTGCATGACATATCATCTTATCATTGTGACTATTTGTGCCAAGTATTTTCCAAATCCCTTCATCTATGAAGAAGTTATGGACGGGGCATAAAATATACCATATAACAGACTTTGTTACCTTTATACCTCTAAGTGTGACCTTGACCTTGGAGGCAGGGGTGCAGGTGTTGTAATTGACATATCGTCTTATTATTGTGACTATTTGTGCCAAGTTATTTCAAAATCCCTTGAACTATGAAGAAGTTCTACATTGGACACAATATATACCCTTTAAAAGACTATGTTAATTTTTTACCTCGAAATGTGACCCTGACCTTGGAGGTAGGGATGCAGGTGTTGCGCTTGACACATTGTCTTATTATAGTGAATATTTGTGCTTTTGAATACTTTTGAAAGACTTGTATTGTAATCTTGTTTTTTATTATTTATTATTTATATAATAATATTTTTGTTTCAAACGCTTTGATTCTATGAAAGTTTGCGAACCATTTTTTGCGAAAATAGTACGCTTTTTTAAGGCCACATATTGTATCCATTGTTTCCACTTGAGTTATTGACGTAAAAAAATCAGCGGTCGCATAAAATGCTATTCAATAAATTGCTAAATATATACAATAAATACTTTCATTTCCCTTCGGTTGACTTACATGTGAATTTTTCAGCATCTCTGCTACAAAATTACACCTTATTTATATTCAATTTATTGTACATAGGTACATGGACACAAACTTTTCTTTGGCCTAATGCGTAATAATACTGATGTTTTTTTTCCGTACACGTTTAAGATTATGTTCCATTGATGTAAGCTAACATTGAATATCATCATTTCAAGTTTTTTTGAACATCAGCTTTTTCTTCAAGTCATCCACGTTTGAAAGTATACATATAGTTCTGCTGCACTACTTTCTTGGTCGCATTAACTACTTGTTTTCTATTGAGCTTAAACAGAATGCAATTAGGTGTTGTTCGTTCTTTTTGATATATTGCAGACCGATACTATAGAAAGGAAATTTTTTTTTGAAAAAAATTCCTTCCAAAAATGGTGCGAGAGTCATTGGGAAATAGCGAAATGCTTCATAGATGGTGGGGGATATGCAGATAAAAAGAATGCCTCTGAAACTGACTGCAAGGGACTGCTAAGTATTGTAACGAATAACATGTTTGTGCAAAAGAGTGTTGATACCCCAATTGACAAAATAGAACCTAAAGCGGACGTTTTCTCAAAGGTATTGTTATTGAATTCTTTTTAGATCTATATTCTCACAACTGTTATTGCATTAGGTTATATAGCTGGGCTTTTAGCTTTACAACTGTCAATTATAAATCCTGCGTGGACATTAATGTCGACAAAGACAGTAAAGTGAATATCAATTTAGAATTCATACTCTGGCGAAGGTAATTATGATTGAAGATCCTTTCCTAAAATCAAATCGCCATCACAATGAACCTATTTCAAATAGGCAGGTATCCCTGAAATGCATTTTTGGCAGAGACGTATTATTACCGACTTAAGATAAAATTTCGTGTAATTCTCTCAAAATCCGTCAACTGTGCATGATCGCTTCCATTTTTTTGAATTTTCAAAACGAGAAGGGACACACTTTTTAATGCAATTAATATAAAAACCCATTCCAAAAAGACGAGGGCCTTCTTATAATTGCAAAAAGACATGCATGGACTTCCGCTGTTCAGTTCTGGACATTTTCAAAACAGGAAAGTGCATGTATACTCAACTTCTTTTCACATGTTTGAAGATTTATTTCCTAAACCATACAATCTAAGCCAAGAAATATTGGAAAGACCCTGGCCTGGGACAGAATAAACAACAAGACTAGAATAGGATGAAGGCTTTCACATTGTTTCAATATCTTTAAATACACGTCAATACAGAATATTATTATAACACTTTATGTCTTCGGAAGCTGAACTAGTTATCTTGAAAGCTCACAGCCTGTAAAATAAACTATTATCTTGATTATTAACATGTTGATATCTATGGAATGCAACACTGCCAATTAAGTTGTTAAAAACTTGCTTTTCCTAATTCACTGAAAACAGTAAAATTCCAACATTTTGCTTATCTTAATGTAATTAACATGTAAATACAATAATGGCTATTTTAAATCAGAACAAATTGTCTAAGACTGTATGGATGGGCGGGCAATACGACTTGTACAATAATATGTGAAATCCTCGAGTGACGTATCTATATATATGCCTTTCAATTGCATGATTTCAGCGAGCACGAAAATTCGTGCGGAAATTTTTGTTAATCCAGACGAAACAAAAATTACTAATTCAACTAAACTTGAAATATTAATTTATAAAACAGTATACTATTAATATATATAACATGTATAAACCGTGGAGAAATTTGGTGAACCGTGCGTTCTGTATGTGTAGTAAACCTCGAATGAGTTAACCCATGAAAACGTCGTACCCAATATAAACCAAACATCAAAAAGAGATATGAATTAGGATATAAATTACAAAAAAAGAAAGAAATAGTAATAATTATCTGTATATTCTTAATCTCTCTATTTCAAGTGCAAGGAGGCAAGAAACGAAATACTTCATCTGGCGTCTCTCCATCTGTCAGAGGAACAGTTTAAAAGTTACATCCGGGCAATGATACAGCTTCTGGGAGATAAAGGGGAACTTAAAAACTACAAACCAGCAAAAGAGGCGATAACTAAACTTAGACAGGTAACATCATTTAGTAATAAATAAACACCTTGTTTCAGACTGAACAAATTAGTAATTTATATTATTTATTTTTTTCTTTTAAGTGTTCTGCCTTAAAAAAGCATTTTCGCGGCTTTTCTTTAATTGCAACATTTGTTGTTTTTTTTCACTAAACACTAAATTGGTGGAAAAGTCTTTTTCAACTATTCATTACTTTTAAGATGTCGAGACGTAAACTGAAAAGTGAGAATATAGTCAATTTAAATAAAAAAAAACACATCTTAACATGAATTTCAGCTTGAACAGAAAAACCTTGTCATAAGCACTGACGATGAATGGGAGATTCGCGAGTCCGCATTAAAGGCTATTCAGGAAAAGAAGCAACAGGCGCTCGATGAAATAGAGGAAAGAGAGACACAGAGGGAAAACTTCGAAAAACTTCAAACTCAAGTTGCTCAAATGCAAGAAACGCTCGATGCTCTGTCTAAAAGTTCAGCAGATTCGACAACTTCTTTGTCCAGCCACCAAGAATCACTAGAAAATAGACAAAATATGTTAGATGATACAATAAAGCTGATTCAACAGGTCCAATTAAGCACACCTAAGGAAATATTAGATTTGCAAAAGGTTCGTTCTGTCATAGTTTTAACAAAATTGCAATGTATCTACACGAAAATCTTCCTTGTGTACAGCGTTCTTGTATAGTTAAAGATCATTTTATTATTATCATTGCATGATTTGCAGGATGTGTCTGATTTGAAATCAAGACTTACTTCATCAACTGACTTAGAAGACCTTCACAAGAAGAAACTTGCTTATCTTAAACAAAAGACAGGTACTAGTACTTATGATTTGTTATGCCACCCTGACTATTATAACTGTTCCTATTATGCAATTTTTTCTGGTGTAATTTACTAATGTGATTTCTTCTTCTTTCAAAACATTTGCATAATGAATATTCTACAGTTATATCATAATTGAAGATGTTTTAAGATAATCAGATATTTTTAGTAATTCTAATAAACTGTTATTTTCTTTACTTTTGGATAAAGTATATGTTTTGTGTAGAAAAATTTCTACATTTATATGTCATCTATTTACATAGTGTTGGTTATATTGTTTTACAGAACTTAGAAACGAGCTGTTTTGTTTGTATTCCAAATATCTATCAACGATGACAGTGTCTCCTATTTTGAAGAGACTCGATGCTAGCGTAGATGACTTCTACATGGAGCTAGAAATTTGTGACGATATTGTATATGAAAGACACGAGAATAAAAGATCTGGTGATATTATATATAACTATAGAGATATTTTCTTTAAAACCACAACATTGACAAAAAAAGAAGACAGAGTGGAAAATATTTATGTTTTAGGAGATGCAGGAGCGGGGAAGTCTACATGGTGTTTGAAGTTAATAAATATGTGGCTGAAAGGTTTTGACGAGAAAAAGAAGTTCACCTCAAATGAAAAAATAATGCTCGAATTCGATGTGGTCTTTTTTGTAGCATTAAGGCATGCTTCAAAAGAAATAGATCTTATTGAAATGATTAGAAACCAGATATTTGATCAAACCCCAGTATTTTATGACCATAGCATGACTGTTTTAAGTGAAGAGCCAGAAAAATGTCTCGTTATTGTTGATGGTCTAGACGAATGGAACCCTCCAGGCGTAAAAATATCATCACCGTTTGGGAAGACTTCCAAACTACCAGGGCGCCGAAACCTAAATCATTGCACCGTCTTAACAACATCCAGGCCATGGAAGTTAAATGAAGTGAAACCCGCTTACAATAACGTTGATAGAGCTGTTATTATAAGAGGATTTGAACGTAGTAGCTCGATTTCGGTTCTGGCGGGAAAGGTTATTGACAAACTTGTTGAAAAAGATATAAAATCGCATAAAAGTTGCGATGAAAATAAAGGAGGTAAACAAGTAAACGACTTTGAATCTGAAGTTAAGAAATTATTTAACATGACAAACAGTAGTAATGATTACCCAGACCTTATGAAAATACCTCTTATTTTGATATTTATGGTACTAAGATGGTTCAAAGATGGAGCTTTGGAGAAAACTATGACAGGGAACTATTCGTCTTTGATCGAAAATATTCTTGACCATGAGGAAGGATACAAAAGATATGGACAAAATTTAGATTACGACGGCAGACTGTCCAGAATAACAGACATAGATCAAGCTAAGAAAGAATGGTCTTCAAAAGTCGATATGCTTCCGGAATGTTTAAAGGAACGTGCAATGATTAAACAGTACAGTGGCATTTTACTAACACTTAGTAAAATTGCGTTCGACGGATTATTTGACGGTCTAGGCAATCAGCTTATTTTTAATGAAGAAGAAATCCTTGAGCAACTTACTCCATTGGAGCTTGAAGTATCTGTGAAATCAGGTATTCTGTCAAAGACAAGCTTAGTTGGTGGCTCTTCGTATGAAAAGTCAAAACTTTCATTTTTGCACAAAACTGTACAAGAATATTTAGCGGCTGTTTTCATGATTGTAGATATGAAAAATGGTACATCTTTAGACATATTTAAACAAATCTGCACGTATGACAAAATTCATGAAATGGAGAATGTGATAATGTTTGTATGTGGACTAGATGCTGATCTTGGAAGTACATTGATAAATCACATATCGTATGAAGAAAGAGGTTTTATGCAAGTCAGTGAAAAATTTGATCAATCACCAACACATTTTTACTTTAAATGCTACAAGGAACTTCAAATGGAATCAGGCATCAAGTTACCTTTGAACTATTTTGTTCTTGAGCATTGGCACCACGCTAAAGATTTCCTCGAATTGTTAAAAGCAAGTGATGACAAAATAAGCTATGGAAAAATCGGTTTGTTCTATGAAGCAGAAATAAGACAACCAAAACTTCTTGAATATTTCCCTCCTATAAATTTGGCAACTTCAAATCTGACATCACTTGTACTAGAAACAATAACATTGGACTGTTCAGACTCGGTTAGAGTTTTCGAACTTTTGAAACTAAAAAATCTTCACATAAGCTGTCTAGACTGTAAATGCCAGGTAACTGACGTTGATAAAGAGATACGTTGTTGTTTAAATCTAGACTTCTCAAATTGCATTAATATTGAAAAAGTGGAGATTTCCAATGTTTCTTTGTGCAAATTAAGTTTGTCTGGCAGAAGGTTGGTGAAATTAGGTCTTGAATACTTGATGTTATGCCACATTGAAGTATGTACCGGCATTTTAGAAACATCGGAAGATAATCATATATTGACAAATGAAAGCAATCTTTACGAAGGAGGCGGATATAATAAATCTACTAATATTGACTGTGTTGACCATACAATTGATTTAATGTTAATTCAGCACTGTGAAAAGTCAGAAATTGTTCACGCGAACCAAAGTAGTGATCTAGCATGTCCGTCACTTATGGTGTCACACTTATATCGTGAAGGAAACAAACAATGCGAGGTAAAAAAATTCAGGATAAATGCAGAAAAGGTTTTAAGGCGACAACAGACACATTACGTGGTACTACCATAAATTACATTAAAACCAACTTATTCTAGTAATAATTGTTATCTATTAAAACTTTGTGAATTAAATGTCTTTGATCATCATAAAAAATAACATATTTGAAGAAAATGCCTTTGTAAATAATTTATTTTGAACAAAAATTCAAAAATTTTTAATCGTCATATCAAAGTCATTTTTATATATTTTTGTCATCAAACTTTTGGAATATAAACATAATTATAATTTCTGAGGAACCGTGTCTTAGATTTTTTCTCAAAGAAATATTACGTAACGTCATACATTTTATGCGACTTTTTTAATCATACATATTACGTAATTAAAGATAATTAAGTCGCTGATTAAGCAAACAAATATCTCTGACACAGTTCCTTCAGTAAATTAAATTCCCTTTCATGTGCTTTTAACCACAATATAAATTGCTTGATTATTAAAAAGTTATGCGTCCGACCCCATCAAACGTCATAAATCGGCTTTTCTCTCTTAGACCCCCTACGTTTCAAGCTAAATTAATGCATAACTGACCAATTAAAAAGTGTGTGTGTGTGTGTGTGTGTGTGTGTATTTGGGTTTATTTATACTCGCCACCGGTTGCAGGGGACCTCGATTTAAAGTCTCGTCCGAAAGACTGATTAGTAATTTTAGTTGGCCAGCCCGGGAATCGAACCCACAATGTCGACAATTACAAGTCTCGCGCTCTAATCGATTAAGCTATGCGGGCTGGCATATAAAAATTAATTAAAAAGCGGTGGTGGTGTTTGTAGTTTTCACTCGACGGGATCACGATAGTAAGCCACATTTATTTCACCAGAGCACAATTCAGCCACTGCATCTATATACTAGTTGCCTTCATTTTCGCAAGTGTACATGCCAGAGCAAGGTACAGTGCAAATGACCGTAGGAAGGATTTTATGATTAATCAGAACGGAAGTGACCTGCGCCATCCGGGAAATAAACCCGGGTCGCCCGATTCATAGCCCAACAAATTGTGCGCTTTAGGGCTTTTTATCATATAGACGATGGTCACCCTTCGCGCACAACCCACTTACGATTCAAAACAATTCGGAAAGTTTTCCTTCTATTTCTATGTGCCAGCGTCGCTAACTTCGACAGCTTCAAACATTATTATGAGCATATTGTGAAAAGCCTCCTGTTACAAGTTCAAACTGCTATAAAAATATGAAAAATGCTTTACTTCTGATGAAACTTGGCACAAGTTTTGACTAGACCATAGCCTCTGTAACAGCATGCCCAATCGTAAATTTCATGTTACCATGGCAACGGGGGACGTCTCAAAATTGACAAAAATCACTATTTTTTTCATTGTTTTTTCCCATCAAATCTGATTTCAAAGTGCTGAAACTTCTCAATGAATTGAGATAGAGTAAAAGGCTTTTCAGCGTCGGTTACTACATGTAGTGAGGTCATTTTTAGCCTGTCACATGTCCAAAATTTTCTTGGCGATGAGGGAGACTACCGCCCCCTTCAAACCCATGGTAATTAACCCCCTGATGTACCATTTTGATAGGGGTGGCGCCGAAAAAGAGGTCACCTGTTTTAACAGCATTTCTCAAACGAAAAACAGTGTTTGGGGTCTAGATAGGGCATTTTTTTTACTGTTTAAAAAGGAGGCAAAAAGCCGTCAAAACACGTTTAATTGAGGGAAAAGGTTAACAAGAAGAAAAAAACTCAAAAAAAGTCAAAACTCGCGTTCCTGTAAAGAGACTGTAAAACATGGTAAACAAGATCAACAAGGAAAGGTGGCGTTCAATTAATGAACGCAACCCCACAGACACTTGGGGTTTGGAGCTCAAAACGCCTTTAAAATCCAAATAAAATGCATATTTGTCAATCCCAGGACATGTACTGATCATATATATCAAAAAACTTAATATAAGCCGTTTTGAAAAAAAATCATATTTCAACAACTATAATATGTATTATTATAGATGTTGAAATATGATTTTTTTTCAAAACGGCTTATATTAAGTTTTTTTGATATATATGATCAGTACATGTCCTGGGATTGACAAATATGCATTTTATTTGGATTTTAAAGGCGTTTTGAGCTCCAAACCCCAAGTGTCTGTGCGCAACCCCACACGACCCAGCGACAATGACAAGCGGCCAGGAGGACCCAAAACAAAAAATAGGACAGGACACAAAGTAAGATAGCATTATTACTGGTAGGAGAAGGCATGCATCTGTATCATTTCAGACACGAACGGGTACCTGTTAAAAAACTTTACCATTGATCTTTAAAGTAAATGGCATGCTTAAACATAATGAAGAATCCATATTTTAAGAGCCCGGGAAAAGTTTAGATCCGCAATGGCCAAGATCGACATATATGAGTGTGACCATTCAGCTTAAGGGAGAAACTGTAATGAAATAATACAATGGTACTGTATACATACATGTATATGAACGGTGACACATGCAGAGGTGACAATTTGCAATTAAAGCGAAATAATTATGTCGTTGTCCAGAACGAGATATTATGTCGTGGCAAGAAGTCCAATTGTCATCTCTGTGCCACCTTATAGAAACATATGTTCGATGTGTTGTTCAAAAGCTGGAAACATTTCTATGATTTCAAATAAATAAATAATCCTAAAAGTTTGTAACTTCAAAAAAACGATCAATAAAAATGGAACAACTAGCAGATGACGCCGACGACGTCAGAATGTGAGTATTTGCACTCAATTTATTATTTCTACAAACTGAAAAAGTAAACTAACATACTTGGGTTTTGCTGACGAACTATAAAGTATTGGTAGGGTGACAATCAAGCCATTCAGAAACTTGAACCCGGACCCATTTTTTAACAAGGGGTGTCATATACCAAAATGTTCCAATATATTCGTAGTTTACAAAACTGCCGGCATAAATTGGCATAAATGGTGGCAAACACAGAAATCCAAGATGGCGTCCAAGATGGCCGCCAAAAATATGGAAATAACAACTTACTTACTTTTACTTGATTTTAATCAGTTAAAACAGATGCATTTGTTCTTTTCATGCATTTTTGTATCAAATACATGTCACATATTGAAATTCAGATTCTATTTTTAATATAACAATATCTTTTAACAGACACAGGATGAAAATTGTGGCGAAAAATAATGAAAATTTGATAAAATTTTAAGATGTCCGAACATTTTTCCATGTTATAATGCAATTTACAAATCAATTGATTAACTATGGTTTATATTACAAGAAACCATCCTTTGCATATGAAAAGTGCAATTGATTTTTTTTATATAATTGCATTTTTTGAGAAAATGTGTATTTTTTAAGTGGGTGGGGTAAAATAATAATTTAATAAAAATCACAAATTTATTGTAAGTTACATTACTGTTATGTATTTAAATTGTTATTATTTTAAATAAACTACCTGAAATACTTTAATCTATAATTAATAACAAAATTCAGTAACTTTTGGACAGAGTATGCAAGATTGTTAATAGTTTTATAAGAAATTAAGCACAATAAGTTGAACACAGCGTTTCAATTTAACCTGATAAGTTTATGCTTAATAATTTACTTGCTTTTTTCTTTCGTTTATCCAAGTTTAAACAATCATTTAATTTATTTCTTGTATGTTTCATATGTACAGTAGGGTGAACGTTTCGGTTGTCAAAAATAGCGTTTTTCGTGCGTCCGTTTTTCGTGTAACGTGCGTGCGTATAGCGTGCAACGTGCGTTTGCTGAAACGCTTTCTCAAGCGTGCATCGTTTTCAAGCGTTTAACGTTTTTCGTTTTCCGTGTATCGTTTTTCGTTTAACGTGCGTCTGAAAGCGTGCGTTTCTTATTTAGCGTGCGTCTGCGTTCGTCTAAGCGCTTAAGTACCGTGTTTTGCGTCTGTTATTATTCAGAAGTAAAAGAATATCTTCGATAGATATATTATGTAAATTTCTTGTTTCTTAAACATGTAAGATCGAGATGTTCTGTGTCCCTGTCAAAGAATAGAAATATTATATAAAAAAGTATTATTGTGATGTTTACATTAAAGTTTTAAAGTGTGTGACCTCGCGGTGAATACTGGTCAGATTTCTACATGCTTTACGCCGAAGATTAATTAGTTTTAATCCTAGTTTACATACGCATATAAGATTTAGTTACTAATTAATTGCAACATTTTTGATATTAAATTCAGCAAACAGATGTTTATATGCGGGTAGCAAGACACCTCAGCCCCCAGACACTTCACCCCTCAAATTTTGAAGACACTTCACCCCTTAAGACACTTCAAAATGGGCCTAGGGTGAAGTGTCTGGGGGTGAAGTGTCTGTAAGCCTATATGCGTACCAATATATATTAGATATGAAGTTCGTCAGACATCAAATGATGGTAATCAGACTAGCACCCCACCCCCTTTACAAGTTCATCTTCTGACTTTTCATCAAAGACTGCCCGAACCCGATCCGAATCCTATTTAGGGTGATAATTATTTTAGACAGTTCCTCCCTATTTTTCTTGACAGATTTATATTGATATGTAACAGCCTGGCAGGGACTCGAACCCCTGACACTCGAATACCATTCCGCGGCTCTTGAGTTCCTCCGAGCTATTCGGCCGCTTAAACGTTTTACTTGTTAAAATACTGAATCGTTATAAACCTACTGTGTATGCAAATATCTCTTCGAATTTCCCAGGGTTACTTAGCATTGTGATTTAATTTCTACCTGGGCTATACAAATGTTATATCAGTCACAGGGTGAGAAAAAGTACATCCTGACATGGACTCGAACCCGTGACCCTCTAAATACCGTACCGCATCTGTACCGACTTTTGTTAATAGTTTCATTATTTGTACATGTATAGTGAACATTTTACTAATTATACATTGTATTATTTCTATATTTTTGTACAAATAAAAATAGTTAGATTTTTTTCTAGATAAATTCTATGGTGGCTAAAATATACCATAATGTATTTTTAGACATGTTATCACAACAGACAGGCTAAGCCACCCTTTACAAAATTCCCCTATCTGTCAGCTCATTATCAAAGCATAGACTACTATTTTTGTATGTGGCCTGGGCTTTTAAAGCCCTTTATTTTGTTTCAAGATCTGTCTGACAGTCATATTGATGTAACATAATATT